CACACACACACACACACACACACACACACACACACACACACACACACCTCTCCTACAACCAGCCTTATATATTTGCTTTCTTTTTGCTTTAATATTTTACATTTGTTTTTACATCAACTTCATTTCCAAATATATCCTTCCCCCTTCTCCTATGCAGCAAAATATCCCTTGTAACAAAAAAGTGGAAAAAAAAGAGGGGAGAACAAAAGCACTTGAGCAAACGTAAACAACTTATTAGTGGAGTCTGACACATACTGCACCTGCTTTTAGTACACTGGAAGATAATGCTATTTCTTTGATGCTAAAATGTATTGTGAGTCCTCAAAGACAGCTGTCAGAAGTTGAGGGGAGTGTGACCTAGTGAAGAGAGGAGAGATAAATGAGTAGGGGACCTTGCTTCCATTTCTGACTTCTGTATTGCTGCTGTGCTGGAAAACCTCAGGTGAGCCACTTAGCCCTTCTCTGTCTGTATTCCCTCTACTTGAAATGAAGAGAATGATGTTGACCTCTTTTCTGGAAACTTTGGAAGAGCAATTATGATCAGGGTTGTTGTTTTTTGAAGAAAATGCTGTTAAATTTATCCTTAGCTTCTTTCTAGAAAGAAAGAGAAGAGAGGGTGATGCTGTTAATTAGAATAATTAGAGCTTAAGATTGGGAGCAGAAGTTTGGAAGTTTTTCCTTGGAACCAGCCATCAGGTACTCATCAATTACATAAGTTTAACATATCCTCTTCCTTAGAAGGTACTTACGTCAGAGGATAGACTTTATATAGCTATGAGGTAAGGGTGGGGCTGGCTTAATAGAGGGATTCCTAGCAATTCAATTAAATTCAGCAATCGCTTATTAATAAGTGCCTATTAGATGTGAGGCAGAATGAACACTGACCCAAATCCCTGCTCACAAGGAGCATATATTCAGACCCTTTAGACAAGTAAAATACAATGTAGAATGTGATAGGGGCAGAGGAGTGAGCATTTGAGGCATATTGGAGGAGGGAGGGAATACTTCAGCACAAGTAATCAAGATTTTGTGCAACTGGATGAGGCCAACTGGCTTCTGAAGGGGGCATAAATCCCCGTCTGCTATAGCTTAGTCTCCAAGATTTGCCATGCCCATTTGGGTTAGTCCATACCTATCCCTGGTGTATTTTAAATACTCAGACCAGTGTAACAGAGAAGGGATTGACTGTGATGGTTTACCAAAGTGCAGATTTCTGCCAGTACAACTTGAGTCTCTGTTTTTCCTTTCCCTCTAGGCTTGATCAAAACATCAGACTCTTGATCTCTATGCCTTGTCTCTGTTGCTTCATGTGGCTTGTCAGTTTTCTTCTTTAATATTTTTTCAATCATGTGCATTTATTTTCTTTCCTGCACTGATTAAAAGGGGGGAAAACCCATAGTCAGGCAAAACAAGTTTGTGAATTGGCCATGTCCACAAATGTATGTCTTATCTGCATCTCTACCTGTCAGGAGGTAGGTAGCATAGTTCATCATCAGTCCTCTAGAACTGTGGTTCATAATTCATCCAAATTACATTGTTGGTGTTGTCCAAATTGTTTGCCTGGTTCTCCTCACTTTATTGTGTCAGTTTATACAACTTTCCCCAGGTTTCTCTGAATCTACCCCTTTCACCATTTTTAATGGCAGAATACTGGAGTATTCCATTATGTTCATGTACCATAACAACAGCAACAACAATGATAGCTAGCATTTATATATCTCTTTAAAAAAGTTTGCATAGCATTTCTTATTTCATTTGATCCTCACAAGGCCCCTGTGAGGTAAATGCTGCAGATGAGGAAACTGAGGCTGAGAGAGTAAGTGATTTGCCCAGGTCAGTAAGGGTCTGAGGAACATTTGACTTCAGATCTTCCTGACTCCAAGTCCAGGACTCTTTTCACTATACCTAGTTGACATTCCCCACTTGGTGGGCAACTGATGGAACTTTTTTCTCCAAGTGTTCCCCTGGACCCTGCTTTGTTCTTCTCAGCTATTGATGTGGAAGACTACTGAAGTTCTGAGAGTGGATTCCCTTGTTTGCCGTTCAGTCAGCTGGTCGAATTGGCTATCTAAAACCCTCCAATATGTGTGCATCTTTAGCCCTCCCCCTCCTAATCATTCTGTCCATAGTTCAGATGCCAGCCTAAATGAGACCAATCTCTGAAGTTCAGCCCTCTGCTTGGGGCAGTTAACAGCCCTCTTGCACATTTCTCATGGTAGTGACAGAGATCTCTTTGTTTTGCTCTAGTTATATTTAGGACAAATCAGCTCCAAACGGCCCCTCCAGTTGATTTGGAAAGGGTGGCAAATCAAGGAAACATTTGGTTAAAGGAAGCCAATATTGAATAAGGGGAAATGGGACGTTCATTTTGAACTGTCAAATTATCAAAGCAGGACTTCCCTCCCGCCCTCATCCTCTCATACAATGCTCATTCTTCTAATGCCTTACTTTAAAGTCTTCATGGATTAACAGTAAATGGTTTATTCTAGACTCAGTCACATGGCTAATTTCAATCAACAGTTTACTTGCAGCTATCTAATACATTTGAGTATTCTATTTGTTGATGGTTACTCAGTTTATAATAAATTTTTAACAATTTTTTTAAGATAGCTCCAGCTAAATTTAATTGAGCACATTTACTGAGTACCCACTACATAACTGGCACTTTAGTAGACAGCTAGAAATAACAAGCTGTTGAAAGTTAGCCATGTGAGTCTAGACTAAACTGGTCATAACTCTATATGAAGTCTTTACAATAAGACACAGAAGAATGACCAAATGAACATACAAAGTAAGGAGTAATGTATCATTAAAGAAACTCCAAACTTGGGGAATTTAACAAGTGCCTCAAGCACCTCTGAAAGATAATTGTAAACCAATTACTGATTTGCCTTAGTCGAAGGAGTTTCCTCACTGAGACTTCCCCACACTAATGAAATCATAGGCCTGGACCAGAAGAAGACCAACTAAAGAATCAACGAACAGCTAACACCAAAAATGCAGTTGTGCTATGTTTTGTTTCCAGTCCATCCGCAGTTTAACTGGGACTTCTTACTGGAAAGTTCTATACCAGAAGGACATTGCCAAGCCAGGGGGATTTGAAACCTTGGCTCGTGTTTGTTTATCAGCACTATCAGACAACACAGCAGCTGGGCCACAGCTTGGATCTGTTCCTGCTATGTTCATCAGTTACATCCTGGTCTACTAAGGCAGTTCTCTACTTGCATAACCATTTGTTAGCTGCTACACTTTGTTCCTTTTCTCATTCTCTCTTATTTAAAAGAATGAAACCATTTGTTCCCCACAGCTTTCTATCTCTTCCTCTCCTCTGTAAGACTGTTTCCTTTCATCGTGTGGCTTAAAGTTAGAACTGCCTGAGTTTGAGTCTTGGCTCTGCCATTTACTTGGGAAAGTCACTTAAATTCTGTCTGCCTCTGTTTCCTTATCTGTAAAATGAGGATAATAACTCTGCACTGCTGCCTCACAGGGTTATTTTGAGGAAAGTACTTTGCAAACTGTGAAGCACTGTAGAAATGTGCTGTGCTGTTGGTATTATGGTTATTAGGAAAGCATAAAAGGAGGAGGACAAGAGAGTTGAAGCAGAGATGATATTTGCTTATCTGACTTGGATTTTTTTCAAGCTTTTAGTTGGGATTCTATGATCATTTCTGTGGCAGGCTTATGATGTTGTTTTGTTGCATTTGCATTAGCTGAGCTTTTTGTCTTTTCTTGCCACTAACTCATTTATTTGAAGCAGGTGCTTCCTGACTCCTTGTTGTCGGGCTGCCATACTGACTTGGCTGTGAACTTAAAGTGCAAGGTGGGGCATACTAGGATATTTTGAAGGTGGACTAATGTTCCTAAGCAGAGATATTAGAAAGACCCCAATTAGCAAATTAATTTAAATTCCTGTTTACATGAATGCTTTCATCTCTAATTATATGATTGTTTGAAATAAAATTTTCTCTCTTCATTAATGTCTCTCAATGAAATTGTAATTTTGCATTTCCCAGAAGTCTTTTCACACACTAATGCCTGTCATTGGGATACAAGAACTTACTTAAATTAACAATTGGTTATACTTTATAGAAGAGTTATAAACACACTCTCATTGTATTTTTTTTTTCCCCTGCTGGGAAATTAGCTTCTCAGTCTTATTTTGGTAGCTTTTAGCCCACTGCTAAATAAGCCCAGGAGGATTCTACTGTAATCTCTAGTTGAAGAGTAAATGGGAGTAGGGCTGGAGTTAGAAATGAGGAGAGCCATAGTGTAGAGGTATATTCTGTCTGGAGAAGAGAAGATTTTGGTGGTGTTGTTTTTTTCCCCCGAGGCAATCGGGGTTAAGTGACTTGCCCAGAGTCACACAGCTAGTGAGTATCATGTGTCTAAGGCTGGATTTGAACTCAGGTCCTCCTGACTCCAGGGCTGGTGCTCTGTCCACTGCGCCACTTAGCCGCCCCTGAGAAGACAAGATTTTGGAAGACAACACATGCCAACAGTCTTCTCTAGGGTTGGCATATGGCAGAAGGACTTCTTGACTCCACAGTGCAGAATAGGGACATTGGGTGAAAATTACAAGGAAACAAGTTGAAGCTCGATGTAAGGAAGTATTTACTACAATTTGGGTTATCCCCAAATAGGGTGAACTGCCTCTGGAAGCACTGAATACCCAGTCACAGATGTTCAGGCACAGGCTGCACTGGACCATCACTCTCTAAGGATGGCAGAGAAGGGATTATGCTTTAGGTAGATTCTTCACTAGGTAACTACTTTTAAAGGCAATTGGGGTTAAGTAACTTGCCCAGGACCACACAGCTAGTAAGTGTCAAGTGTTTGGTTTGAGGCGGGATTTGAAGTCAGGTCCTCCTGACTTCAGGGCTGGTGCTCTATCCACTGCGCCACCTAG